GCCTGTAGTCCCAGCTACTCGGGAGGCTGAAGCAGGAGAATGGTGGGAACCCGGGAGGCGGAGCTTGCAGTGAGCTGAGATCCAGGCCACTGCACTCCAGCCCGGGCGACAGAGCGAGACTCCGTCTCAAAAAAAAAAAAGAAAGGACAGCACATATATAGACAACACGAAAGAGCTCACGTTCTGAGGCTTGAGTATATAGTCAAAGGAAATTCTAGCTCTTTTCATTCACCTGAAAACCTAATAATGTGTCTGGAAAAGTCAACAGCTTTGGTTCCTTGCTTATTAAAAATGCAAAAGACCCCACAGAGTTTCCCATTTCAGAAATCTCATCACGTTCCCAGAAGGGATTCAGAGGGCATCCAATGGCACTTGGGGTATTGAGAACTCAATCATTCTTGAAATAAGGTTAAAATTCTCCTCTGCCAAGACTGGGGAAGGGTTTGAGGAGGCAAGTAGATGAAAACAGCAGTGGCTTCTCTTTTCTCCTTTTTACCAAGCTGTGGACACAAAGGGCCATGAGTAAACTAGAACATAACCATGCCAACCCGAACTTGGTCAGTGAGGAAGCACTCCAGTTTTTCCTGGAGGGAGGGCATCTACTGAGTTTTAAGGTCAGTAATCTTTAGTCTTCCCTTCCTCCCAGTGATAAAATTCCTGGGAGAAATGGGTTCCAACAATGGCTTGGGAAATTACCTTTCTGACAGAGTAGTCTAGAAATGAGTATTTGGGGACAGGGGAGGGAAGATATGTAAAAAGAATTATTATTTTTTTGGTGGGGGGGCAGCGTCTCACTCTGTCACCCAGGCTGGAGTACAGTGGCACAGCCATGGCTCACTGCAGCCTCAGCCTCCCAGGCTCAAGTGATCCTCCATCTCAGCCTCCCAAGTAGCTGGAACTATAGGTATGTGCCACCATGCCCAGCTAATTTTTGCATTTTTGTAGAGATGGGGTCTTCCTATGTGCCCAGACTGGTCTTGAATTCCTGGACTCAAGCAATCCTCCCGCACTGGCCTCCCAAAGTGCTGCGATTACAGGCGTGAGTCACTACACCTGGCCATGAAAATTAAAATGACTTAAGCATCAACTTCCCCTCCTTTAACCACCTTTCCCACTATAGAACCTGTCTACCATTCATTTCTAATTTGGCAGCAATTCATAGAGTTAAAGAAAAGAGAAGAAATATAAGAAGAGCAAAAGTTAAATTTAGAAGCCCAGAGAACTACTGAGTTATGAAAAATTAGTGGGATGAACTAGGTCCCCTAGAAATTATAAAGTGGTATTCTACCTAATTCCTTACTCCTACCCTCAAATCAAAGGAGTAGTTCACATAAGGAGTGAACAGAGAAAACAAATAGGGATTTTCAAAAACAAAACTATCAAGCGTGGGGAAAATAATGCACAGATTCCACAAAGTGTCAGAGGCAACTTTATTTGGCCTCTGACATAGTCTTTACCTTTTTTCAGCTCAGTTTCCAAAAGGATTAGGGCCCCCAGAGGAGCAGGCAATAATGGGAAAGTATTTTTAAATGAGTCCCCTGAACTGTCTCCTAGCTTCCAAGAAAACCTGACACATTTTCATCTAATGAGCTTTTCAGGCCTAATATACTACTCCCAGGGCTGTTCCATGAGGACATAGATCCTCTTATGTCTTCCTGAAGAAAAGGAACAGCAGCCTGTTCTACTTCTGCTCTTGCTGTTTTTTGTTTTTTTTTTGTTTTTTTTTTTTTTGACACAGGGTCTTGCTTTGTCATCCAGGCTGGAATACAATGGCATGAATGCGGCTCACTGCAGACTTGACATCCCTGGCTCAAGCGATCCTCTCACCTCAGTTGGAGTAGCTGGGACCCTAGGCACATGCCTGGCTAATTTTTGTATTTTTGTAGAGACAGGGTTTCACTATGTTGCCCAGGCTGGTCTTGAACTCCTGGACTCAGGCGATCCATCTGCCTCGGCCTCCCAAAGTGCTGGGATTACAGGCGTAAGCCACCATGCCCAGCCTACTTCTGCTCTTTCTAACTGCATCTGCAAACTACACTGATAGGCTTTGTAGCAGAAAATTTTTTAAATGACCAACATTTTTACGTTAGCCTTTTATACCAGTGGGCATATGTTTCAAGAGAAATGAAGACTACAGATTACTTCACAGAAGGAAATCAAATGCTTCTACAACCAAGAAAGAAATGCAAATCAATTCTTCATTTGAGAACAGTAAAAATGAAGATAAAAGTCAAACCCAATTTAATTGGATTCCTTTATCTTTCTGCTTACTTTTTTTTTTTTTTTTTTTTTGACACAGAGTCTCTCTCTGTTGCCCAGGCTGGAGTGCAGTAGTGTGATCTCGGCTAACCATAACCTCTGCCTCTCGGGTTCAAGTGATTCTCCTGCCTCAGCCTCCCAGGACTACAAGCACGTGCCACCATGTCTGACTAATTTTTGTATTTTTAGTAGAGACTGGGTTTCACTATTTGGCCAGGTTGGTCTCGAACTCCTGACCTCATGATCTGCCCACGTTGGCCTCCCAAAGTGCTGGGATTACAGGTGTGAGCCAGTGCGCCTGGCCTTCTGATTACTTTTCTTTCTAAACAATTAGCAATTAGCAAAAATGGATGAATTGATTTGAATCCCATTTCTCCCGGGCCCTGGCAGAGATGCTTACACATAACCAGCCTTAAAGAATACCGGCAGTGGATACTATGGGTATGTGTAGATGGCCCTGAAACAGGTAGCAAAAGCAAAGACACAATCACTGGTCTTCAAATTATCGAGCCATTTGCTCCAGCCCAAAATTTCCAAGTTAATTCTAGACCCTTACCTAAAATATGAACATGTTTCAGAGTGTCTTACAAAAATTTTACACCCTAGGAGGCCTTTTATTACTACTCATTAACAATTGTTTGAATTTGGTGTACAGCTTGTTCTAAACAGGCCCTCATCTCACATCCACACCACCATAGTGCCGGCACCAGTTCTAGGGGAAGATGGAAAAAATAGTTCTGGGACATCAGGTGTGGGCAACTAACTGGAAACTCTGAAAGGCTCAAAGCTGTGTACTAATCTCCATTTTACTGAGAACATCCACTTTTCCCTTGACAGGGGTGATTCTGACATGCCATGTCCCTGTGACATGGGTAGTGACAGTGTTTGAAGTGTGGTGGAAAGGGGACTAGGCTAACAGCCAAGGAAGCTGGGTTCCTATCTTAGTTCTGCCACTCTGAGAGCTTGGCCAAGTCACACTATCCTTTTCTGGCCTGTTTCCTCATCAGTAAAATGCATGGCTCAGGCTAGAAAATCTTCAAGGACCTTGCCTAATATAATGATGATCCTAAATGAAGGAACAAAGAAGTGAAAGAGTTCATTTAACTCTCTTTGCATCTAAAAAAAATTAAGGCTACATGACATTCTATCATTACATACTGCCAAATTAAATTTTTGTTTGTTTTTTGTTTTTTGAGACAGAGTCTCACTCTGTTGCCCAAGCTGGAGTGCAGTGGCACATCTCAGCTCACTGCACCCTCCACCATCCGGGTCCAAGCGATTCTCCTGCCTCAGCCTCTCAAGTAGCTAGGATTACAGACGCCCGCCACCACGCCCCACGAATTTTTGTATTTTTAGTAAAGACAGGGTTTTGCTATGTTTGCCAAGCTGGTCTTGAACTCCTGACCTCAGGTGATTCGCCAGCCTGGGCCTCCCAAAGTGCTGAGATTACAGGCGTGAGCCACCACACCTAGTCAGCCAAATTAAATTTTTAAAGAGCCACAGATGCACTATCTGACTCGAAAGACAATATGACCTGTTAGTGCCAGGTAACTCAGGATTATTGACTACCTTTTTCAAGGCCCGTTCCATTCCACAGCTGTCATGTCTGCCAAAGGATAGAGTTTCCAGGTCCCTTGAAAATACCTGGGAAACTGAGCCATCTGGATATTCCTTAATCATGTATTCTCCACAAGCTACAAAGACCTACCACATAAAGTCCTTTACTTGCAATGGAGGTTTCCAATAATAGAATAAGTTATATTATCCATATTTTACTCAGCTCATGGCCACTTGTTGGCTTGCATCTGAAGCAAGAATCCAAGTGATAGAAAAGAGTTAACACGTTCAGTGGGGTTGAAATAATATACAAGTGGGAACATTAGCTCCCAAACTAAGCTGGGTCAGTGGTGGAGGGGCAATGGATTAACAGTAAAGAGGCAGGTCACGACAACTTCTCTTCTCCTCCCTAGAACGCCTTCTCCGACAGTTGCAGCATGCAAAAGGCAAGGCGCTTCAGGGATCAAACCTACTCGTAAAGGGGGACACTGAGGCCCAAAGAGAAAGTAACCTGCTCAGGGTGACGCAGCAAGGCCCCACCTCCGCCTCGATGCCAACGGCGATGACATCCAGGCGAGGGATTACGGAACCACCACAGCTTGGGCCCGCGGGAGGGGACGGGACGCCACGACCCGTGGGGCGGCAGCCGCCGCCAGGGGTGTCTCTTCTGCCCGAGGAGCCTCCCACCCAGCCATACAGCATTGCAGCGCTGCCCTCCGCAGGACAAAACTGCCCCGCAACCCTCCCGGACCGAGGGAGGGGCTCCAGGGCCTTCAGGACACCACTCCCACTATCAACCCAGAGGGTGAACTGCGGTGAGAACCGAAACCGGCCACATCTCTACCCTCCGTGGCCCCTTCTCAGGACTGCAAGTCTGAATGTGGGCACCCCGAAGGCCTAACTGCCCCTTTCCACTTGAGGCACTCACCAGGGACAGCAGCCAGCGGCGGCGCGACAGCAACAGGGCAGAGTGGGACGGGGGCGGGGCTAAGCACCCGAGGGAGAGCCCGTCCCGCCTGGCCCCGCCCACACGTCACAACGGTCAGCAAGCCCCGCCCCCGCGCGGCGCTTGCTGGGACTTGTAGTGCTCAGGCGACCGGGCTCCAGGAGTGGAACGCTGCCCTTGATAGCTCTCCTAAGTCCTGAGCAGTGATCTCACCCAAAGAAACCTACTTCATCCCCTGGAAGAAGCTGTTTACTTTTTTTTTCTTTTATACCTTTATTTCTTTTTTCTCTTTCTGTCGTCCAGGCTGGAGTGCAGTGGTGCGAACACTGCTCACTGTAGCCCCGACCTCCCAGGCTCAGGTGATCCTCCCACTTCAGCCTCCTGAGTAGCTGGGACAACCATGGTACCCGTAGAGCTCCGCCAGCACGCCAGGCTAATTTTTGTATTTTTAGTAGAGATTGGGTTTTGCCATGTTGCCTAGGCTGGTCTTGAACTCCTGGGCTCAAGAGATCCAACCGCCTCGGCCTCCCAAAGTGTTGGGATTACAGACCTGAGTCATCGCGCCCGGGCTACACCTTTATGTCTTTCATCCCTGAACGAGAAAGCTTTATACATTTGAAGGGCCATTAAGAGGTCATCTTCATTTTTCTCCTGGCTCCACTTAACACTACTTCACTAAGAGT